ATTTCAGCCATTCAGGGTCAGAATTTGGCGTACATGAATCAGTAACTCCATCTCGTCTTAATAACACCTTAATAGTGAGGCTGTAATGGTGTGACAGATATTTTCCCTGTAGAGATGGAAAAGTTAGTCGAGAACCATGCCGGGGATATGGCAGATCTGATCTGGTCAGAGACTAAAAACTACCTGGCTTATATGTAACACTATTTCTGGTCCAAGAAGAAAAACATCCCCAGAGCATGATGACCTGGGAATGGAAAATTTCAATTTTCAACTGAAAGTTTTGAAGGTTTCAGTCTTCAGATGATCAAACTTGGTAGAAGAGGAAAAAATAACTCTTGCTTCTGTAATTTCAGCAAAAACAAAAAAGATTAGACAAAGTGTTGATTCACAGGAATGCTGCACATTACAGATTTTATTTCTATAGGAAAATAAAATAGGGTTAAAGTTTCAACTTCGAATAAAAGCCTGATAAAATAAACTGAAGTTTATGGCAGTAACAGGTCAAAGTTCAAGAGGTTTTAATATTTTTGCTAGATATTATACATACAGGCATGCACAATTGAATAAACATTTATTTTTATTTGCATCAAAATATAAACAAACCCTAATGTTTTTATAATTTATGTGGATTATATTCCCCTTTTATCACATGAACTAAGCGTAGGTCTGAGTGTGTAAATGGGACCTGCTGATCAAACGGACCTGATTTGACCAACACTCAGCGTCTCATTACAGCAGACGTTTGGTCACTCTTCTTATTTGGATTGGAACAACAACCAAAGAGCAGAGAGATGAGCAGCACTCCTGTTTTGCTCTTAAAGCAGTGGCACAGCCAGCATAAATGAGGGCACACAGACATCCCTGCAGAGCTAAGCGTAGAACAGCTAATAACGTTCCAGGATGCTGGTGAAGCTGGGACGGCTCACAGACGCAGCAGAGCAAACAGTCGCCTATATTATTGAACATCTTGTACCTCGTCTGTAAGATGAGCTGAAAAGCTTCATTTTTTCTTTTGAACAGGATGTAAATAGTTTACATCTGTCTGTTTAATCCAGTTCAAGCTGCAAACAGACTGGAGCTGGTTGATAATAACGTCTGATTTAAGGGGATAAAATTGACATTCATCATGTTTATTTTGACACACGGGCAACTCAAAGTGTTCATATTTAATGATTTATTTTTTATGAATGGGATTTGAACTAGAAATTTCAATAAATGTCCAGATTTGAGTTCAAGTTGAGGTCAAAGGTCTGGAACTACGAGTTCGTCCCCTTTAATCAAGGAGTGTCTTAGCTGTACTGTCACTTTAAGTCTGAGATGTCCAAAATGCGGCCCGTGGGCTATTTGTGGCCCTCAGACTAATTTCTTGTGGCCCCCAATTATCATTGGAGAATGATGCAAATTTCTCCCTTCCAGCACAGATCATGTAGCTGGAACTTCTCATCTGTAATTGGGGTGTAATTATTAGACTTTTTTTCCAATGAAAAGATGTTAAGTTCAAAACAAACTATCAGTGTTTTTATAATCAAGCTTTTATAAGAAGTAGAACCACATTTATCCAGACTTTTACTGAAAAGTCAACCCAAAGCAGCTTTATTATAACCTATTAAACTTGGTTGAATATAGCCAGTGATTTTATAGAAACTGACCCAAATCCAGCTGTTCTACTGAGGATAAATTTATTTAATTGAGCACCCCCAAAATTTAAAAACTATTTCCCTTTATTTTAATACAGCAAACATTGCTAAATATGAAAGTTTTGGGTCCTACAAAAAATAAAAAAACATCCAACTACTTTATTTGCTTGGTTTTTTAATATTTTTTTAATATGCACATTTTTTGGTCTACAATTATTTTTGACTTGACAATTTTGGCCCATGTGACAAAATGTTTGTTGTTTAGTTTCCAGGTGTACGATTCTCTTTCCATTTTTTAAAATTGAAGCTTACACATCAGCAGACTTTTTTTTTTAAAAGCAGGCGATTTCTGGTGTTGCATTATTTTAATTAGGTTGACCTGAGCAAAGGGGAGCTAAAAGAAATAAAATAATTTTAAAAAATGTCTGAAAGCATATCTACGATCTTCTTTTCATGCCACATTTATGTGTGACATCGTGCTTCTTTATTGCATAAAATCCCAGTGAGATGTGTTGAAGTTTGTGGTGGCAACGCGACAAAATGGGGGAAAAGTTCAACATAGTAGAGCTTGTGAAAGGAACGAGGCCAGGCTGCAGAGGGAGTGGCGTTGGTACCAAACCAGGTGACTGGCAGCAGACGCTGGAAACGGCGAGAACGGAGGCTGAAGAAAAACGAGTTAAAGCACGCTTGGAGAGAAGAGGAGAGGAAAGGAGGGGAGGGTGAGGTGGCCTGGGGGGAGGAGAAAAGAAAGAGCAGAGAAAGAGAGAAGCAGACGTGGAGGAGGTGGGGAATTGATGAAGCAGAAAGCTGGGTTATTCCTGCTGTGAATCTATGTGTCTTTGCCTTTCCTCTGTGTGTGTGTGTGAGTATGAATGGCAGGCTTTGGCAGTAAATGAAACTGTTTATCAGATCAATATGGCCATCATCTCCCAGATGACTGTGGCCTCTACTGAAGAGCAGCCATAAATCACAACCAAAAATGGAGGACAGCGATCTATACTGTGTCCGCCGCTTTGTGCACGCGCACACACGAGCAGCCGGTGCACAAGGATAGATGCACTTCTGTTTTGTTTTTTTTCCCTGTTGTTGTTTGTTTTTCGTCTGTGGTTTTTATGCGTTTGTGCGTGTGTGTCTGTTTTTAAGATATCCGTCTCGCCTTTGATGTTCTGAAGCCGAGAGTTGAGATGAAGCAGTCACAAAATGGAGACAGAAGGACCACACCTTCTGAAATAAAGCGGCGCTTCCCACACAGTGTTACAGGAAATACGTTTACTCTGCCCGACGACTTACACGCTGGCAGTGCAGCACAAGTGTGACACATCCTCCGTCCTCCTCTACAGGGTTAACAACAGTGCTCTTGTTCCGAGTGTGACGGCCCCCGGTGCTCTCACTCTGAATAATGTAGCCTCCCGATATCAGTGACAAGAGTCTCAAAACCAAAATAGCATCTTGAGCTCCGATAAATATAGAAGGTAATTAAATCGGCAGCAGGAGAGAGACGGAGAAAAGCAAGGGAAAAAGGAAGGTCTGAGTTTTATGTGTGCAGATAAAAGTCCGCTGAGTGGAGAAAACGGTTGGATGGGAGGGAAATGCTTTTGGGGGTCTGCTGTGTTCGAGGTTCCTGTTTGGTCTGGAAAAGTGTGGGATTTGAGGGAAGTATTTCTCTAGGTCTGAATAAGAATGTATGGCAAAAAAAATTCCTATTACCAAACTAAAGTATTTTCTCTAACTATACATCTCTTAATTCACCCCTTGTTAGTCCATCTCTATATTAGACTACACGGGTTCATCCATCCGTTTGTCTAACCTTTCATTGGTTTATACCAGTTTGTCCATTTATCCATTTGTTTCTTACTTGTGCATCATCTTCTAGTCCTTTTGTCCTTTGCATCTATCCATCCTTTCTTTTGTCCTTCTCTCCGTCCGTGTATCCATCTACTCCACAATCCAAAAATGTATTTTCAAACTTTTTTGCCCTTTTCTTCATCTAGAAGCTTTGTCAATCTGTCCACATGTACATAAAATACTCGGTTTCTATTTTCTGTTCCAGACTTCCTTTCATCCTTAGTTCTGTTTGTCTGTCCATGTATTTATCCACCATTAAGTCTGACCCGTCTGTCCATCTGTCCTTCTTCCTGTAGTTTTATATAAGCCCTGATTTCTGTAGAAACGTCTGTCGTAAATTATTGATAAACTTCCTAAACTGGATTTTAAAAAATGCTAATTCTGGAAAACCATTGAATGTTTAGTTAAATGTCCACCACGCAGATGTCAGTTGTTGCCGATACCGTCTTGTTTTATGAGATTTAACGGACTCTGAACCTGGATCAGAACTCGGTGTGGCGTTGAGGCCCGGCGTGCGTACAGTGAGTCAGCAGTATTGCATTGCCTCGTTCTCTGGGGAGGAGACTCGGCTGTAAGTGGACGTTCGCTCCTGTCCGCATCCTCCTTACACACGCACAAACTTTCGGCTGCAGGATTTCAGCCGTCTTCCCTCAGTTAGGAAAACCAGAATCACACGGTTGATCCGGAATGTGTCACCACTGGCATGAATGTCAGCAAAGAGGGGTTAAAGGTTACCAGGAGGGAGTCGAGGATTGGAGGGGGGGCTCAGATCGGTTTGTCAGAGCAGCCTGGCCCCCATCTTGACATGATCCCCTCTGGGATTGAGTGTGTGTGTGTGTGTGTGTTCCAGTGAAATGTTGTGACAGAAACTGACTGACAAGCCCTTTTGCAGCTCAACACCAGCTACCGCAGAGAGACTAATGATGACAGCTCTCAGGCCCTACACATTGCTTTCTGTTTCTTCCTCTCAATCACACACACACATACAGAGTGAAATGTCTTCCTGTCCCTCACCCTCTCTTTGTCTTGTGTCTCTTCCTCAGCTACCTCTATCACACGCCCACACAGACAATAGCATTCTGTATATTGTCTCCCTGATGCAAAGCCACAAATACACGCATGTTAACATGAAGGCTCCCACAAACACACGCATGTGCTACTGCCTGCAGTCAACCAAGTCTGCATCATACACACACATTTTTTTTCCCCTCCTCTTGTATTCGGCCTTTCTTTTAGACACATTTTTCTTTTTTTCTCACACGCACACACAAACGATGCACTACTCTCTCTGTCTTGGAATTTTACATTTTGATGAAGGAGGAAGCGGAGCGACCAATCAGAGCGGCGGGAGGAGGGAGAGACCATCCGACGGGAGACAGCGGGGCGGTTCGGAGTCGGCTCCACAGGCTGCGACCGGGCTTCCTACCCCCCGGGGTCCCCTCGGCTTGCCGGGGCCGGTGGTACGATCCGGCAGGCTGCATAAGAACCCCTCCTACCCGCCTCCCCCCCACACCCACCCCTCTCCTGTCAGTGCTAGGGTGTAGCTACTGATCCCATACTACGGCGCAGAAAGCGAGAGTGAAAGGGGGAGGTGGAACATCAGGTGTCACAGCTCCACAGCCCCAGATGAGGCTGCATCACCACGACAACCGGGGGTGCCGTCAGGTGAGTCTGAGGACATGCACGCACACTCTCACAGGCACTACTTTGACACACAGATGGAGGTTCACATGACAGCAGCCTATTGTCACTTTTTGTCTTTGACATCTTCTGAACATTTTTCTGAAAGTGATTGTGTGCAGCATCTTCCGTATACGTGTGGGTTTGAAACCATCAATGTACAGCCTACGCGTGCGCGCGCCCCTGTGTGTGTGTGCACATGCGTCTGTGTGTGCACACGCGTCTATGCGTGTGTATGTACGCCATCCCTCCCAGTGTGACGGTGGTGGGAGACAAAGGGTCCCCTCCGTCTGGCGCCTCGGCACCGCTCGCGACGCCGGCATCAGATGCGAAAGTTCAGTTTCATCATCCGCATACAATCGAGGGGAGGAAAGAAAAAACTCACTAGAGTGAGGATGAACCTTCCTCCGTCTCCACACACACTTCGCCAGCGATTCCTGTCGAACTCTCCTGACTCATGACGATGAAAGAGCGCGGTCACAACGGCTGATCGCCCGGTCGGAGGGGTTGGGGCGGTGGGTGCATTCTGAGGACAACGGCATCTGAGGTGGCGGCGGTCATGACACTACTGTAACATACGGTAGAGATAGAGGGTGATGGTGAAACACAAGTGTCAAAGGCAGGGTCATCTGCCATGCACATGACTGCGTGTGTGTGTGTGTGTGTGTGTGTGTGTGTGTGTGTGTGTGGGTTCACTTTAAGGCATAAAAAGAAGGAGAAGCTTAACGTGTCCAACTGTTGGCCATTACTGACCGATGAACCCAGACAAAGGAGTCGCTGGATCATACATGCAGTCTCGTGTCATATTCTGTGGGGGTTGGTGGGTGCGTGAGAGCGATGGGGAGGTGGAGGGCGGGGGGGGAGTAGTAATAGGAAAGGAGGGTGGGGGGGCTTTGTATGTGGAACAGTAAAACACATGTATGCACAGGAATCCCGATCATCTCGGTTCTCGTCGTCTGTCACCGGCCGAGCGTGTGCGCATTGCACCGGTCTGCCCCCCCCACCCCACAGCCGACACTCGGATTCAACCTGTCCCAGTTCACAGCCGCGGTCATCTTCCCATCCCACCCTCCATCCCCCCCACGAATCTCCAGCGACCGCAGAGCCGTGGGACCGGTTCAAGCCCGTCCATATGACACGAACCGATCAATCCCCTCTTTGTGCTCGCTACTGTAATACTTGTGTTCTTATCCTTAGGTGGCCTTTGTTAGAAACTGGCCATGTGATTGCAGATCTTTGCAAAAAGGGGCTCCAGTCCTAGTAATGTTAGAGATGGTAAGTCAGCGACTATAGATGAGAAATGAGCATCTAGTGTGTGACACAATGATAAAACTGACACTTCTTTCAATTCAGACTTTCTTTAAAACAATAGATTTTCTTATGTAAGAAGCATTTATTCCACTTTTCTTTTTTCTCTCTCGCTCTCTCTCTTTTGGGGCGTTTACCAGTGAGCAGTGTGGCTGAGACATGGGTGGAGAACAGAGCTCAGACTCCTGACGTACAAGCTCACAGGTCGAACACTCGGAGAGACACATCAGCATTTAATGTCCAAAATCATAAAACAGTGTTGGGACTACTCAGCTGCTTATTCTCCAGCAGATGTATCATGAAACGATGATACGCAGATGATGCTGTGTTTTACCTTCCTTTTCTTTCGTCTACGTTTAGCTTGAGTTTTAGTCTATAAATGCACCAAGCACCAGCATGCGCTTTGATTTTAATCAAAAAACACACATTCTGTCTTCTTTAATTTGAAAAAATTGATACAATCTTGTTCTTTTGCTTTCTGTTGACTTTAAACTACTAACTTTATCAAAAATGAATTGAATTATCTTGTATCTTGAAAGAAAAAAATGGTCAAAAACAGAATCTAAACACAAATCGGTACCAGGCAGACAAAGCTGGACCAGAAGCGTTCTCTGATCTGTATCATTATTTGCAAATACTTTTTGGCGAATCGTGAGATCAAGAACAAGCTTCACATTTTCCTTTACTGTCCTTTTTCGTCTTTCTTTTCCTATTTACAACAAAATCCATTTCTCCCCCACACCGTGGACCCCTCCTTCTCATGTGTGCCCACCGTCACGGCTGCATACGTTCAGACGAGCCATGCAGCATCCGCACATACATGTCGAGTTCGCACACCGCTGCATGACAACTCGCCATCATGCATGTCCTGGTTTACACCATGGGGGCCTCAGCAGAAATAAACCCAACACACAGTTCAGGACTTTTCTTTTTTTTTTTCCAGACATTTCCAGACATTTTCAGTGTCTGCGACATGAGCAGCGTAGTCGGTGAAGTAGTACTTTTCGGTTACGTCTGGAGCAGAATTGCAGGAAACGAACGTGTAGCTCAACAATTACCCTAATTGAGCATTCCAAAGCAGCCTTGCAAAATGGCTGCCGAGCCTGTCTGTGATGGCCGACGAGTGTATAGGTCTGGAAGGCGTGTGCACGTATGGCTGCGTGTGTCTGCGTACATCATCAGCCTGTTTTTGTGTGTGTGTCTCTGTGTGTACTTTTCCTAAATCTGATTGTAATTCTGCGTTTGCTTTTTCAGTGACTGCTTTGTGTCACGGGAAGCCTCTGCTGCCGGAGATCTCCACTAATCCTTACTGTAATTACCCTCCTCGGTATACCTAGACTGTAAGGGGTATTATGTCAAACTGCCTTACTGTAACAGTTGGGTAGAGTTGGGGATTATACTTCTTTTTGCTCTTTCTAATAAAACTCTGCTTTTAAAAGGCGGCGGTACTTTTCGGTTTTGCATCTTTCGAGAACGCCAGGGTGTTTTTTTTTTATTATTTATTTTTTATTTCCCCTGCCCAGCATCGACGCATACCGAATGCGTTCTGGCAAACCGCTGACCTTGTTGTTTCCTTACAGCTCTCTGTGCCCCACCAGCCAAGCACCCGACCATCCGCCCAGCCAGCTATCCCGCAGTCTACCAACCCATCCCTCCACCCATCCCTCCATCCACCCCGGCGAAGCGAGGCCAGCGCCGGTTGGAACTGGCAACCTGCAGAAGTCATCAGGGTTAGTGCTCGTTTGGCACGCCTCAGTGCCAGAACCATCTGCAAGCATCTGGCTGCAACTTGTAAATTTATAGATCTGCATTTAAACTTAAAGCCAGGAAATGAAAAAAGATTACAGCAACAGGAAAAAAAGGGAAAAGAAGCCTTGTTTTTAAAAAAAATTCTTCAGTCAAGTGACGATGTGTCGTTCTCTGTATGTTCCTTTAAAGTCTTATAGGATATTCACTTTCAGATGATTTATTCTGTAATCTTTTCATGCTTTTACTCTTGCTGATTTCTCTGTGTGATAACCTTGAGTAAAAATAGCAGCGTTTCATGGTTTTTACAGACCTGAAGCAAACAAAGTGTAACTGGGTTGAAATGATGGAACACAAAGTTAGTTATAAAACATATTATTATTGATCTAGCAATGTTATCAATATCACTTTTTAAATATTTTATTTTTGCTCACTTTTTGACAATGCTGCTCTTTAGAGTAGCTCAAAGCTAGCATTTGCCTATAAGCGAGGAGAAAGTGTGATTAACCTTTCAGCCAGCTGACTGGAAGTGCGCAACAAAGATGTGGGGGAGGGGCTGCCAGGTTTCTTTTCTCTAGCATCTCATGAACTGTAAGCTGGATGAATGGTGATGCAGGACGTGGACCAGTTCAACCCAAATTCCAAGTAAATTATTCCACGTCCGTTTCCTCATGTCAGTCGTCTAATGCGATGCATTCAAAGGTGGCTATCTTCTCAAATGTATCGTGACACTTTCACGCACGATAAGGAACATTCTTCCATTTCCACACCCGTTCTTCCCACCGCTCCCATTAGCCTACACACATCCGCCGAGCGCAGATTATGAAGCATCACTGGATTAAGTTAAAGCCGTGCCGCTCTGCTAATAACTTAAACACCGCGAGCGCTTTGCCCATTTTTTTTTTCCCCCTGCAGTTCATCTGGGACGCACTGTTAAAAAAAAAAAAAAAAAAAGACAAAGCTGAACTAAATGAGTACCAGTGCCCAGGCCTTATCGCATCTGAGTGGGCGTGGGGCTTGTGTGTCGGCGTGTAATGGAGACGATGTGTGTGTGCACAAAGTGTGTATGAGCTCCACGTTTATACATACAGGGAAAAAAAAAAAATCTCATCCTCTATGCCTAATGTATTTGTCGAGCAGCGGTGCGGTCAGACCGAGTCGACGTGGCAACGAGGAACACTGGGCTGCACGATCGCAGGCAGCAGGGCGTGCCCCTGGATGTGTGCATTAACGTGTGTATTGCAGCGTGAGGTGGCGTGTAAGCGACTGTGAGATACCTCGGTGTGTGGATAATTGTCTCTTTTAATGTCAAAACTATTCCAGCATAATGGAGTCATTAACTTTATCCGTGTGAATACAGCAGTTCAGGGCAGCTTGATGCAAACCGTTTAAAAAAAATAACTTAGAAGCAGCAGCTGCATTTAAGAAAACACTGACGCGTCTGTTTTCTTGGTTTTACTGTCGGATAATAATCAAAAAGGAATTAATTTTGCGCAACCAGATGGTTTCATTTACATAAACTCCTGGTATTTAGTGTCATACCAACAACAGTTTAAGGAAAAAAAGAGGGGGGGGGGGGAAGAGACGACTCAGTCAGAAATGTCAGGGTAAAGGACTAATCCAGTTTTCTTAACCAATTAAATTGAAATCAAATAGATGTGCACTCCAGAGTACAAAGGAAACATGAGTACATCACTCCTGGTGTGTGTCTGTGAGTGTATACCAGTGATTGGGAGGGGAGGAAAAAAAAAGGCCTTTCAGAGCAGTGTAAAAAGGAAATGGATGCTTGGCAAATGCTCAGCCAGCATCTTTATCGCTGCTGCTCTCAGACCTGACCGCAGCATCTCCTTAATAATGGACACAGTCGCCTCTATTTATGCACTCAATAGCACCTCGCAGCCCCTCAGTATGTTTCCAGAGATAATATTTAAGCCCAAAATAAACCGCAGACGTTCGGAAGGCAGGTTATTTGCATAAACACAATCGGTTATCTGATTTATACGTAAACCTGCAGGGGGAGAGAAAGGAGATGGCGTCTGTGTATAGAGGTAAAAAGTGTCAAAAAATTAACAGAATTATTATTATTATTATTATTTTGTGGCAGTCTGCAAAGGTTCGACCCAGGCTGAGGTCTGTAGCGTGGACAGGGCAGTGCGTCCTCCATATCTTTCTGCCTTCCTGGCTCCCATCCCACAGCACAGACACCAGGCGTCGTCATCTTCCAACTCGATTTACAGACGCATTAGGAGACGCTGAGACGCGCCCATCTCGCTCAAACGCAATCAGCATGCCTCTGTGTTTTAAGAGGAAATTGAGGGTGCCATTTTTATCGACTTCTTCTGCTTCCTCCTCAGCAGACTCTGTTGGCTACAGAAAACGAAAGAAAAAAAAACCCCCGCTCAACATCAGCGGCTGGATACAGTTTGGAAGTTTATAAAATATCAAAATAACAATTCCTGAAAAATAACAAATACAAATGTGTTGCAGTTTTGTGTGGAAACATTCATAAATCTATCTTTAAGTTTTGAGTTAAGTTTTTTTTTTTTTTCCACAAAGGGTTTCACTCCAACAGCTCTGAAAAAAAAATGTATCAATATGACATGGATTCCATCTAGATCAAAACTATCAATACAAATTGTTGGCCAATTAATGAATATATATAATAATAATAATATATTGATTTAAAATTGATTTTCAAGAAATCTTACTATTAATTTCGCCTTCTGTATTTCAGTTATTTTACTTTTTTGTTCAAATCATCCAAGAAGAACTGGTCTGCCTTTGTATTAGTTTTTGCCATTTTGTTTTGTTAAATGAAGACGAGTTGCCACGGTTACACGTATCTGGTGACATCACAGGAGGCATTATCTAACTGATAAAACATCCATAAAATGTAACTTATTTTCTCTTCACGCTCATATTTCTGTTCACATTCAAAGGTGTCCACCTGTATTCTGTAGGAATATTTCAGGAACTATCTTTGAATTAGTTTGGTTCTTCTACCTCTTGTGATGTCATCAACCTAAATTAAACAAACTAGCAAAAAGAAAAAGCAGCTTTCTTCTCTTAAAAACATATGTAGTGCAATCCTGCAGCAGAAATCCACATTATATCACCAAGCAGTGATTTATATCGTCAATATACAAACATTGGTGGGAAAGTTTCCACTGTCTTTAATTTAGTAAAATTCAACAGCTCGTAAATTTGGGATTTTTGATGCAGTCAATATGAGAATCTGCTCCCATCCACTGACTTTCCAGATGAAACTTCTGCGAAGTTACCAGAGTGCACTTCAGGGAGCAATTCAGGCGAAGTCCGCTGGAGACGTCTTGCCATCCTGCAGTGGTTGCGTCCTGTTTGACCCTCAGCTAAACTTATGGCTAATTGAGAGGTCGGATAAAACTGAAAAGAGAGGCTGGGAAGCCAGACAAAGGGTGGGGGTTGGGAATGGCAGGGATGAAAAGCGATAGAGGTGGTTTTAAAAGAGCTGCTATGCTTAAAAAAACCCAACAAAAAATAAAAGTGGGGTATCAATGAAAAGGTGGTGCCCACTTTGATTAGATTTCTTTTTTAAAAAAACGGGAAAATGAAGTGGAAAAATAAGTCCCGATAAGAGCGACACTCATCATGTTTTATAGTCCTCATTTCTCCCAGTGTCACCACATTTCTTGTACCACTGTTCAGACATTTGGTTCCCCTTAAATATGATTTATTTTTCTCTCTTTCCAGTCAAATTCCCATCCTATCTCCTTGACATTTTCCTATTTCCCTTTCTAACCGCCACAAAAAGCCCCTTTATTTAAATCCCGGCACTTTTTTTTTTGAAAGAAAGAGATTGATCATGCATTGCTCCAATATTGATTTTTCACACACAGTATATGCCGACGCTCATGTGCTGAATTCATATGTGCCGTTTAAGCGGCTGCATCTCTTCAGCAAACCTTTTTTTTTTCTCCTTTCTCTTTTTTCCACCCAGCAGCATTGTAGATCTATAGCTTTCAGGTGGAGGGGGTCTCTCTTTCTCTCTCTCTCTCTTCCTCTCTCTCTCTCTGAGCATGTGGACGTTATCTTGAAACGAGGGGTTGGCTGCCATAGCAACCATATGATGAGGCAGGCGAGGCTATTTAAAGGAATTCAGCTGCTGCTCCCGTTCCCCGTCAGCTTCACACCAGTCCAGCACGAGACAAAGGCACACATGTGAAGACGAATTTAGACGCCTATCTCTTCACGTACCGCTTGCTGTTGAGTCGCTCCCAGTTTTTGTGTCAACTGGTATCTTTTTTTTTTTTAAATCACCGTAGTTTTTTGTCAACCACACAAACGCACCTTTCTTCCCTTGTTAGCAATTAAAGAAATCAAATAAAAGTGAGGCGTTTTTAATTAACGCAAATGAAAAACACTAATGCAACGTCTTGTACCGCTCGGAGCGCGCTGCACACATCCTCAATCGATTTGCATAAAATGATCGCGCACACACACAAAAGCAGCTTGCCTAAGCTAACATTGGCTGGTCAGTGGTGGCATTTCTAGCTGCAAATTTTAAATTATCTGTAGAAAGGGCAATTGTACTTTTATGCTAAGGTGTAATTTATTTATTTTTTCTGTAAAACCCATAGGATTTCACCAGAGGGGCTTTCATCAGAGGACCACCACACATGAAGAAATGAGTGAGAAGTAGAACTGCTCTGCTGCTCCATGTTTCTAAACACACATTTTTACACATTTTTACTCTCCATCTCATTTCTTATTGTTCTTTGAAACACTTAAATGGACAGCAAGATTCTGGTAGAAAGGTTAAAAGGTTAATTTCTTACCAAAACTCTTATCCTTAATTAGCATAGCTGGTTGCGGAGACAGAAGCTAACTGCTAGTTTGAGAGCAGTCGAATCCAAAGCGGACTTCCACCATCTTTAAACCAAGTCCAGCCTAGAAAAAAGTCAGCATGCTTGATGCGAATGACTATTTACAAACCTTTAAAGGAACAGTGAGTTTCTGTGAAGTTATTTTTGGTATTGTTCCCCCCACCCATCGTAGGCAGATGGAGGGATTTTGTTGAAAAGTGAGAAAGGCAAGTTTATTTGTACAAATCATCAGAGCAGCGAGAGGCTTACAGCCGGGGAAACAGTCCCTCGTTTGAGATAATTTTAGCTATCTCAAACTCAGACTTATAGATAGCATAAGATGGTAAATGTCCAGATATGAAGGGTTTTTTTGGGGGGGGTTTGTTGCTCTTATTCTCAGCTAAACAGTTTGTGACCTTGCTCAGACTGCTGGATCCTGATAAGCTTGGTGTCAGATTAGCTAAATCATTTTCTAACAAAAGGAGAAACCTGGAAAAGCACAGAAATGTTCCCTCTGTGAAGTTGGTTAAAATACAGCTTTTTGAAAATTTGAGAAATTTACTTCACTTTGTAAGAAAACTGACGAGTTGTAGCTTACTGAAGAGCACCAGCCTCACTTGGTTTTGCATCTTTTAAGAGTGCAGACTATGAAAATCCACTAATATAGCCTTGGATCCAAGGACATTTTAAGATAACTGAATTTGGACTATCTCAGCTGTTTGACTAGATGTTTCTTGAATTTTTTTGTAAACTCGATGTGCTATTGAATCATGTTTGCAGGGCAACACCCGAAAAATCCACACTTTCCCTTTAATTGTCTTCTTGTTTGCATTTTGGTGAGGAGTCACTAATTAGGTTATTAGAAATAGGAAATTGAAGTTGGAGGAAGTGCACCAGCAGTAATCTTCCTGTGTGAAACACAACAAGAGCTCAGATTAACTGTAAAATGAGAAAGTAAGACAAAAATAATACAGCAAACACAATTGAATTGATGGCTACTATCATATTAAGCAGTTACCATCAATGGAAACAATTTAAATGCTCTGTTTGATGCAAGAAGATTAATGTAATCTGCTTACCTTCCCTTCCCGTGTAAACAATTGTAGGTAATTGTGAGAGTTTGAAGGTTTATAAAACATTTTTTTCATAATCTGCGATAAAGTTTCTCAGATTGGAGTTTTCAGACTGTGCAAATCCGCTTGGGTCTTGGTCCCTGTTGGGCTAGCTGTTAGCTTCAAGGACCACGACCAGCT